ATCCCAGGACCCTGGGATCATGACCTGAGCCGAAGGCAGACGCCCAACCATCTGAGCCACCCAGGCGCCCTAGTTCTTTTATATTTTATCATCCTTTCCTTACACTTTATCCTGCAGCCATTTAGAACTTTTAGTTTTAGAACAAAGTTTCCCAAAACCTCTATGATCTTGCAAATACAGTTTCCTCTGCCTAAAATGCTTCTCCCTGTTATTTTTTGTCCCACCTTTTTTTAATCCAATGGATTTACATTTATATTTCAAGGCTTATTAGCTCAAATGTTGCTTTCTGTTCAAAGTCTTAATTAAATTCCCTAGGCAGAGTTAGGGTTCCGTTGTTCTCTGTCCGAATAGCATTTTGTTCATACCTCAATTGCATTTATCAGTTGTTTCGCAGTTATGTTTCTTCAGGGAACTGTGGACTCCTGGAGAGCAGGGATCATGTTATATTCATCTTTGTATTTTTCTGATTTCGGCCTGGCTTCCCATAGGTGCTTAGTAATTGATTTTTCAATGAGTAAATAAATGAATGAATCACCAAAGTGGGGGCATCCATTAACTTGCCATATTTGTTTTTCTTAATTATTTTGTATTTTCTAAATTTAGCTTGTTATATTTTTATATAGAATATGAGTGATGTGTTTTAAGAAATTTTTTGATATTGTTTTTCTCTTGAAATAGATTCTGATATCAAAGTACTTGAAGATCAGTTTGATGAAATCATAGTAGATATAGCCACAAAACGTAAGCAGTATCCCAGAAAGATCCTGGAATGTGTCATCAAAACCATAAAAGCAAAACAAGAAATTCTGGTAAGATGATTTATCTTTGAGATAATAAATTTTGTGTTATGTCTATTTTACTACAATTAAAAAAATTAAAGTATGAGATGATATCTATGTGGACACAGATGACATTTTGTCTTCTTTGTCTTTTCTTCCTCAATTACTACTGTTGATCTCTTGTAAGATTTTTTCCTGTTCTTTTTTTTTTTTTTAAAGATTTTATTTATTTATATGACAGAGAGAGACAGCGAGAACAGGAACACAGCATGGGGAGTGGGAGAGGGAGAAGCAGGCTTCCCCGCGGAGCAGGGAGCCCGATGTGGG